TCTCTCTCTTTCTCTCTCTCTCTCTCTCTCTCTGTGTCTCTCTCTCTCTGTCAGGAGTTTTTTAAAAACTATTTTCTGTCAGTGTTGCATCCTGTTCTTTTTATTTCTCCTTTTTGTTTCCCCGAGTCGTCGAGTTTGTCATGGTCTGCCTAGTCTTTTTTAAAGCTGTGTTGTGGAAAGTATTGTCAAAACTGTTTTGTACTACTCTCACCTCAGTCGACACCCGCAATTTTACTCTCAACACACTCCTCTTTTGTCATTTTTTTTTTCAGGGTGAAAAATGGAATGAATGAAATAGTAATATAAGTGTTCAGATTCACGGTTCTACGCAAATGCCTTGTCAGTACTAATATCTGTAGGAATATGTGCGTATGTTGTGATAATGCTGAAATCAAACGAACATATTTATTGGGGGGGGGGGTAATTAAGCAGTTTTGTATTATATTTCAAGATCTGCTCAAATTAAAGTTTTGTCAAATAGTTCACGGCTATTGGTGGCATAGATCTGTCCCGATCTTATGTCGTCAGCCTTATACTTTTGGCAAATTTTCACGTTTCAAAGAAGAGCATGGTTGTTTATTTCTTCGTCGTTGTGCGTCTATTTCTGCGCTGGAAAAGTTAATAGCCTACGTTCTATAAAGTCATTCATTCCTTCTATTTTTTATGTTTAGGCAGTTACGATGTATGTGTGTGTGTGTCTTTTTCTGTAGTATTGTCAAAGGTGTGATAAGATAAGAATTCTGGGGCCTCAGACCCTTATTAAAAAGTGTGTTATCCCTTTTCCACTGACAACGTAACACCTTTAGGGATGATATATTAATTTTAATGGACACAATATTGGTGTTTTTGTTAAATTCAGCAAGTGCTTTATGCGTTGAGTTCCCCCTGGAAGTGGCATTACATGACAGCCTCCCTTTGCCTCCGTGAGTTTGACCGCTATTTTTGCCCCCCTGCATACAAAGTTGATCCAGCTTCATATTTTTATCTTACTTGATTTTATTTCATTCTATTTTTATTTTATTTACCTATTTATGTATTTATTCTTTTTTTTGCGTCCGTTCTTTTAACGGGGCAGCTATCCTCAATTTGTTTGTCTGCCTTAATTAATTGATTGTACCCCTACCACCCGTTTGCATTCATTATTATCCCAGAGACTCATTGATACCCAAAAAAAAACCCAAACCATTTGGCAGACGGAGCATACATAACATGATAATGAAGATTCCCTACTGTCGTACTACATGGATACATAAAGCATGCCTTTCTAACCATTGTAACAACACGGGGTTCTCGCAGCCGTTAACAGAAAACAGCAACAACACAGGAACTGCCTATAGTGTAATAACACCGTTCTTTAACCTTAAGCTACGGGAGATCACAGTAGACTGACAGCTTCGTAAACTTCTGGTCTGGAGGCACTAAGATCTCTATTTAATGCGAGGTTTAAAAAAGTACTTTTCCCTATCTGCTCTTTCTCGCTCCTTTTTTTTTTTTTTTTTTTTTAAGCGGGACTCAACTACTACTCATAGTGTGCACCCCATCGAAACTAGACAATCTGTTTGTTTTGATTTGTACTTTTTTTCTGATTTGTTTCCTTTTTTTTTTTACGGCATTCATTTTGTTTGAGGCTATTTCCCTCTTCCTTGGTTTGTTTGTGTTATTTTTTTAAAAAGATATTATAATTACATTTTTGAACATTGTTTATTAAGATCAAATGTCAAAGTGTGGAAAGGGGGATTTCGATAAATTTTTGAGGTTGAATTGAAAGGAATATTTGTCTTCAAGGGATTTTTTTTTCTTATAATATACATAATATTTATATAAAAAGGATCAAAATAATGTTTGTGACTGACTCGTCCACTGTGGTAAGATTTTGGACCAGGACTGCATTACTTGAAACTTTACAGCAGACTGCTTGCAAGGTCGTCCATGTTTATAAATATCAATATGCTAATTTGTTGCGGTTTTTTCTTCTAAAAGTAAACTTCAAATCACCTTTAATACTGGGAGGCGGACAGCCATATCACATAAAGATGTCTCTTTGTGTTTATAAATACCCTTTTTAGAAATCTTACAAAAGTCAAATTTGGAACCATCTTTAGTACCGAGAGGGAACTCATATAATATATAAATATATATATATATATATAATATATATATATATCTTTATAAAGTGGTCAAAGCCTAAGTGTGTTCTCAATTTGATTCCCCTTTTCTCTACTTTTCCAGTGTAGTGCAGTATTTCTTTTTGTGGGATGTGTAACCGAACTCGACCAAAACGAAATGGGAACAAAAATAATAAAAACAATTCGTTAACTTTGCCATCTCTCTATCTCTCTATATTTATATAATACAATACCATTCTGTTTCTTCCTTAGTAATTTATTATTAGTCAAATTTTCCGTCCCCTATCATTATCGACCCCCAGTAGTTGGCTACGGTAACTGTTTTGTTGCAATCCTGGTTCCAAAAAACAAAGATCTTACTACAACAACTACCGCAACCCGCTGGCCTCCTGGAAGGAAGGAGTGTATGATCAAACAAACCAACCTCTGCTTGTACTAATACCCTCAATGTTTGCATTCTTCTCTAACTCTTTAACTTGCAGGGGCAGATAAAAAGGATCAGGAGCAGAAGAAACCACGTAAGTGTGTAGTCCTATCTATCTCGGTCTCCTGTCTCTGCCTCTGTCTCTTTCTGTCTCAGTCTCTCTGCGCCTCCCCCCCCCCTGTTCCTCTGTCTCTATGTTTCTATCTATCTATCTATCTCGCTCTCTCTCTCTCTCTCTCTCTCTCTCTCTCTCTCTCTCTCTCTCTCTTTCCCTGTGCCCCCTCTATCTGTCTCCATGTCTCTCCCTTTCTCTCCCCCCCTCTCTCTCTCTCTCTCTCTCTCTTCTCTCTCTGTGTAGAAGCGGGGGGGGCATGCCTCCCGCTGCGGCCCACCCCCCTTCAGCCCCCCCCTCCCCTCTTCCCCTTTCCCCCCATTCCAGCAGCATTGCAGAACATTATTGTATTTCAGTCTTCTAGTCTAGGTGGAGTTAACTCAAAAAGCTGTGAGTTCGGCTTTTGACACCGTCAGTTCAATGTACCCCTTTCTCCCTCTTAACCTCGCAAGTGTTAAGAGATATCACGTCAGTCCAGTGTAAATGTACCCCCACCCCTTTCCCCCAATCCCGCCTCCCTCCCCCCTCCCTCCACCCCCTCTTTCCAGGAAAAAAATCCTTTTCCTTGTACGCCCCCAGTTCTGGCTGTAGTAATGTAGACCTGTAGCATCCCGAACCGTAATGAAAGTAGTTCTCTGACGTCACAGTTTTGTGTGTTGATATATATATAGTTCCTGATCTTATTGAAAAGTAGTCCCAAAGAATTAATTAAATTTTTCTTAAATACACAGCTGAGATTTTAGGGGAGTGGGTAATTAATTTTGCAGACTGTTAGATGCTGCTCACGAGGTTATTGTGTTTCTACTTTCTATTTATTATTATTATTATTATTTAACATTTATATTATTTTCGAAATTTTCTGTCTTTTAGGCTTTTAAACTGTTTTCAGTACTCTCGTTGAAGACATATGGGGGTTGGCTTCTTTTTTTTTCTTTTTTTTTTTGACTTCTTGAATAACACTTGTCTGGTTAATAGGGAGCAAGGTGTCGGAACTCCTATCCTCTGATACTAGTCTAGTTAGTGCAGACAGTAATTATTCAGCTTATCATGTATGACGAAGCATTTGGCATGACCTCGAGAAGGCTCTGTAACCTTAACGCATGTGTTTGGCTGCATGGGCTGCATTGTATTCTTCTCTATTATGAAAGCTAATCATTGTCAGTATGTTGGGTCTGGTTTCTTTGTTTTATTTAATTTTTTGGTTCATAAAAATTTCTCTTATTCTTATGATCGGAGTAGGCCGGGTATGTTGTTTTAGCTCATAGAGGTCACTTCACTTTGTGGTATGTCATAAGGTTGCACGTGCCTCCCTTATTCTTCTTTATAGGACTATGGATACATTTTTGTCTTATGACCAAGAAATGTTTGAAAGTAATGGAAGAGAGGATTGCAAACCTTTGATATACGTTTTGAAGATTCAGAAAGATTTTTTTGGGTAAGATCTTTGGCTAGGACCCTCAAGAAATTAATGTAGCGAATAGTTAGCTCGTTGGTTACTTTAGATTAGAGGAAAAGCTTATACTTATAGTGCTGGCGAACGCTTTTGCTGGTCTTGCTCTGGTTTATAATTCGTTCGTATGTATCCTTTTTTTTTAGAGGGGGGGAGGGGGTGTTATTTTTTAACTTCAATAGGAGAGACAAATTTATTAAGATGGTTTGATATCCCCTAAAGTACCTGAATACCAAGCAGCAATATGGGCATTTTGCTTGCCAGGGGCGTTTTGCTGTCGGCACTGGGAGTAGTGTCGCTGGGTTAGTACGGCGATTGGTTTCGATTTTGGCACAATCGTTTCGGATCTCTTCGGTTTGGTAGGTGGGGCTAGCCAGATTGAGGGAGCAAAGTGACCGTTGTGGCACAAACCACAAGCCGGTCGCCCGACTCGCAGCCTCAAAAACAAACGCGTTTGTTTTCAGGACTCGAATCGGGCGATCCGTTGACGATCGGTTTGTCGATCGATCTCCCATGGGCACTGGGTAAATTACGGGTACTAGGCACCAGAGGCTACTTGGCATACTAATGGTTCGTGGAGGTGTTAAGACGTAGCATTCACGGAGAGAATGAACAGCATAAGAGAAAAAGGGGATGGGATGGAGAGAGGTCTTTTCGTTGTGTTTTGGTAGTTCGAGCTTGACTAACGTAGCCAGTTAGCAGAGGTATTATCCCAAATTTGATACACATTGGGTTTCTTTCCTCGTACTTTCTGGAAGATGTTTGTTTCTCTTTCTCCAAGTGTTCGGGCAAAAATCCGAAATACTCCGTCCTCGTAGTGACATCAGCTGGGCTGTGTTGTGTTTACCTTAAAAGATATAAAAGAAGCAAAAGACATTAAGTCTGTGGTTCTTTAACTTCATATTTAACTCCTTATTTTTGGTATTTTTTAAAATATTTTTTTTCTTCAGGTCGAAATGATTTTTTATCTAGAAATGATTAGCCTACATGTATTGTCTTTGATTGTGAATGTGGAAAAAAAAATCAAGTTGTTTCAACCCGACTCCTCTGCATTCCATGTCTGTTTATGTGCAGCTCTGTTTACAACAACTAGGAGTGACTGATTCCTCTGTGTATGCCGATGCGTACAGAGTACCTTATTCTCCTCTATGTCTGCCAAGGATAGCTAGCGCCCACTATAGAACCAAAGGTTACTTATATAAGTAGGCTTTTTGCTGTTGCTCGCAGAAGACGTTTGTTTCCCTCGTGGGGAAGCAGTTTATAATTTAAGTATCTCACTCTGTCTGCTGGTGGCAGAGAGACGTCTCTTTCTTCCCGCGACACCCAAAAGGGTATAAGCGGTGGATAAAAGAAAAGAAAGAAAGAAGACTCTGCTGGGATGTTGTATCCCACCTACCCACCCAGCCGTGGTTAGGATTGGTGCGCTCTCCCTCGAAACTATTGAAATTATGTCCATGGAGGCGTAGCACATTTCGAGTCACTTATTGTCAGTCGCCACCCGCGGCACTCTTACTTGTAGAAACTGTTGGTGTAGTCAGGATAATAATATGAATTATCGAGTAGTGGCCTCAGTGGCCTAGTGGTTAGGCTACCGGACCCGTAATACGTATGCGAGCGCCGTAAAACCTTACTAAAACTAAACAAGACCCGTTGTCGTGAGATTTCGGGTTCGGGGATTCGAGCGTCACCTCGGTCCCCGACGTTGTGTCCTTGGGCAAGGCACTTTAAACGAATTTCCTAGCTGGTCCTTTCGGAGATGGACGTTAGACTCGGAGGTCCCGCCTCTTAAATCACCTAATAGTGTTGATGGTAGCTATGGGCGTTAAGCCAATACCATTTCACCAACTATCGAGTATCTCGGATCTTTCTACTGGGATGTTGTATCCCTCTCAGCCCGGGTGGGCCCTGACAGGCAGGATCGGAAGTCCGCCGCCTCCTAATTGATCTAAATTGTTTCGATGGGGGCGTTAAAAAAAACCCTTACACTTTTTTAAAAGGAGTATGAACAAGAATATGAGATCCTTTTGTTACGTTCAAGGGGTGTTGACATGTCATGTTGTGGATTGTTCTGAGAAGAGCGTGAAATGACCATGTCTGACCCCCCCTTTGTTGTTCCATCACTGCTGCACGCACATTTTTAACTCTCTTTTTTCTTTGCTATAAATTTTTACAGTAATGAAAACCAAAGGGAATGGTATTAAAGGTGGTTGTATATTACATCTATATTATTATATCCCCCCTGTGTAGTATTGTTGGTCTCATTTTTTTTCTTTAAAAAATTCTACCTCATTTGCACATGCCGTAATCTTTTTTCAGTACATAACTATTATTATTATATCGTCAGATATTTGTGTACGGATGATTTGGGTTGAGACAGTTTGGTTTACCTGTTTTGTTTTGTTTTTTGTTGAGCTTCTTAGATTCTGAGTTCGTCTTCTTCTCATTTCTAACGATTTTCAATTCCAGAGTTGTCGTTTTAACTCTACTGATTTCACTCTACTCATTTTTTCTGTGATGTCTTTTCTTCCGGTGGATTTACTGTGTTCTCTGTATACTCATCAATCATTTCCCTATCTATACTTATTAAATGTTAACCGCTTTCATTTCCTTTTTTAAAACATTCTAATATATTATGCTGTTGTTATTTTTACATTTTTGCTCTGTTTGACACTTCAAGAAATGGCTGAAGATGTATAATATACTGCTTTTTTTTCCCCTTGAAATTTTATCAGCACTTTAACATTATTTATATTCTTAGTTTCAACAAAGCTGTCTTCATTAACGTCTTCGAAATTTCACAGGCTACTAGACGTAATTTCTTTTGTGTTGCTTGAATAATGTTCTTTTTCAATGTTTTTGTGAATACTTGTGAATTATGTTACCTTCCTCGTGCCATGCAAGACCCCCCCCCCCCCTTTACCGTCTATCCCATCCCTTGTTCTTTGCCTTTTTCACTGCTTTTCCAACCACCCTCCGGCCTCGCCCTTTAACCCTTGACCTGTGCCCTTTGCCTTTTGCCGTTTGCCCTCTGCGGATTGTTGCCGCTTGCTCTCTGAAGCTCACCTCCCCCCCCCTCCCTTTCCCCCTCGCCTTTTCTATTCATTCGTGTTCCAATTTTTAGCCCCTCCCCCCCCCCCCTCCCCCCAAAGAAAAGAAAAAATAATATCTTTCTTCGATATTGTGGACGTCTTTCATGCAGAGAATAACGTACAAGTATTTGGACTGTTGAAGCTCTCAACGTTCAATACTGTACTTTGTTAAGTGGGTTTGCGGGTTTTTTGTTTGTCTAAAAATAATATATATCTAGAATGTGTTAAAAGCGCTGTCATTTCATCACTCTTGTAGTAGCTCTAGCCGTGTTCTTACCACCATGTCCGTATATATGTCTCTGGTTTAAAAAGAACCCCTGACGCTGATTTCTCATCGTGCTTCCTAGTGGCTTTGAATGTCATCGGCGTCTCAGTCTTTTTTTTTTTTCCTTTTTTTCTTCTTCTTCTTCTTTCATTTCTTCTTCTTCCTTCCTTCCTTCTTT